TCTGTGTACATGTCTCGTTTGTCTCGTATGTTACTCAAAATGCCTCTTGCGTATTGCGATACGTATTGAATCGGAAGAGTTGCTGACAGCCATAGGCATGCATCTCATCCCCGGCCCTAACGGAACACCGGTTTCGATCCCCCCTGAGTACGCCAACATGGCCTACCCAATGCAGTACCAGCAAGCTGGAAGGCAATCATCACCCCGTAGTTATGGTTCCGTCGACACAGGATCGCCACAATCGGGAGTTAGCGTAAACTCTTCGCAAAACGCCCCTGCCATAGCCGCCTGTAGATACCCAGTCTTGGGACCACTGCTTCCCCATCTAGGACCAATACTGAATGTCACCACCGCATGCGACCTGCTCGAATTCTACTTCCAAAGTTCCTCGTCGGTATTTATGGAACCAGTTTCGCCGTATATTCTCGGGTCTGTCTTTAGGAAGCGAAGTTTTCTACGACAACACAAGCCGAGAAAATGTAGTCCCGCTCTGCTTTCGAGTATGCTTTGGGTCGCTGCGCAGACCAGCGAAGCGAGCTACCTGACCTCATCGCCGTCTGCAAGAGCTATTATCAGCCAGAAGTTGTGGAAACTGACTGTGGATCTACTCAAACCCCTCGTTCATTCTCCATCCTCGCATGGGTTCGCACCAGGACCTGGACTGACATCCGCCGCACACGACGCCTTTGGAGTTGATCGAGCAATAGGACGCTACGATGGAAGACCTGACGGAGCCATGCCACCCACAAGTACATTGGACGATGTCGCCACATATATCAATCTTGGCGTAGTCACTTCTGCAAGCGAGTACAAGGCGGCTTCCCTACGGTGGTGGAACGCGGCGTGGTCGCTAGCCCGAGAGCTCAAATTAGGCCGAGAATTACCACAAGGACCTGTTAAAGAGCGAGAGACAACCGCAACAGATGGAGAGATAGAAGTGAGCATGTCGGATTGCTCTAGTGCGCAAGCGCCTGTGGGCACCCCAGCCGCGGCAGTCGTGGAGGAAATGAAAGAGGAGAGGCGTCGACTGTGGTGGTTACTTTACATGGTCGATAGGCACCTTGGACTATGTTATAACCGACCCTTGGCCATGCTTGATAACGAATGCGAGGATCTGTTCCAGCCAGTTCCGGACACGCTCTGGCAAGCGGGCGAATTCTATACAGGCCATCCTGGAGCGCGAAAACGGGGACTCAACTTCGAGTGTACATCGTATGTATAGCCCGCAACTGAAAGACGCCGCTTCCAGGTGATCTTTTAGCGCATTCTGATGCGCCTGAGGACTATGCTAATCTAGACAGGCATGATATATTCGGTTTCTTTCTGCCATTAATGACAATTCTTGGAGACATTGTCGATCTAAACGCCCAGAAAAACCACCCCAGATTCGGTCAGCGGACATCCTGGGAGCTTCACGAAGCAGAAATCACCCGCCAGTTGGAACGGTACGCGTACAGCATCGAAGACTTCAAGGCACAACACGGCTGCGGCTCGAACGAGGAAGCTCAATCGAACAGTACACCCGACCCAGTCCGCAGCGAATGGATTCACCAGACCAGGAAAGTCGCAGCCTATGCTACTCATATAATGCATGTGTTGCATATCCTGTTGCACGGCAAATGGGATCCCGTGGCACTTCTGGAGGATGACAATATGTGGATATGCTCACAGTCCTTCCTTGCGGCAACATCCAACGCAATATCGGCTGCCCACGCTGTCGAGGTAATATTAGATGTGGATCCGGATTTGTCGTTTATGCCCTACTTGTTCGGCATGTATCTCTTGCAAGGAAGCCTTATCCTGCTTCTCTTAGCCGACAAGTTGTCTACTGAGACTAACGACGGGGTCATTCGCGCATGCGAAACGATTGTTAGGGCGCATGAGGCTGCGGTCGTAACTCTCAATACGGAGTATCAGGTAGGCTGTTCCTTTCATGTTTGTTGCCAATACACCGCTAACTTGACGCAGAGAAACTTCCGCAAAGTGATGATTTCAACATTAGCGCAAATCAAAGGCCACGGGCACGCAAGAGAGATGACGCCTGCGAAGAGGCGAGAAGTACTATCCTTATACCGCTGGACGAGTTTGGGGAACGGGCTGGCTATCTAAGTGAATTGGAGGACATTTAGAAGCCGGTGGTGGACATCGGCGTCTGGCGCGACTCGCACAAGCCTGCGGGCTGTATATGTGGCTGGATCGTTGTACAACTATGGTTTCCTTTTCTATGCGTGGTTATGAAAACACGTGAACGGGCGCATAATTTCGGCTTCGTGCGGCTGCATCTGGCCTCTTTTATTGGAGCGATTGGCTATGCTGCATGATCAGCAGCCCGTAAATATCATTCAAAGTATCAACGTAAACTCAATCGCTGTTCAACCACCATTGCGCGTAAATGCTGCGTCACGATCACAGGCAAACTGGGAAGTGCAAGCCTGTCGTGAATTGCGCCGTCTGTGGCAGCTGCCGCGACTGCCGCTCGGGCAGAAAAGGAATAATGACGGCGAAACGTTGGCGTTCGACCTAGATTTTACGCTTGGTCCTGCGATCGCCGAGACAAGGATGCTGCTCTGCTTGTCGCTAGGGTAGCCAGGTTCTAGATGCGACGCGATTATCGGGGTGGCAGCAAGCAGCCGCCCGAGACAAGGCTATGAGATACAAATCAAATGAAGGTGGAGCGAGAAACTGTTTCTGCTGTGTGAGAGTCACAAGGAAGGTGCGGCCGTCTTGCGCTAGTTTGTGATGATGCTGCAATGGCAGTTGCGACCCTCCGAGGTTCCTCCTTAGGCGCTGCCAATTCTGACGTAGTGCGCTTACTCGAACTAAGCTCCGCAATGAAAACAACCAAATAGGATATCTATCATAGAACGGTTATATACAACGACGAAAGCACCATAAATGCAGACACGTGCTTTTGCCCCAGACTTTCAACAAAGTATGTGTAGAAAACGTAGCACAACCCATCATGAACGTAAGAAAACATGACGTAAACTAACTATAACTTCTTCTCTACCTCCATGACCTCTCTGATACCTTCCGCGACAGCGTCGACCTTCTCTTGTGGTAGTCTTTTGAGTGGCTTGCGGGGGTAGCCACCGTAGCCGTAATATGACTGAATTGCTGACTTAGTTCCAGGGATGGCGGCCTTTGTGAGGACCCAGTCGCCTTTGCTGAGCACCTTTTGTAACTCAATTGCCTCGTCGTACTTTCCTTCCGCCCATAAGTTCCAGACCTTGACGCATGTCTTTGGCAGGACATTAGCACCGCCAGCGATGATTCCTGAGCCGCCACTGGCAGCAGTCTGAGCTGTGAAATCGGCCATACCACCAAAGGCCATGTAGCCACTACCATTGCTCTTCTGTGTGCAGGCATTGGTAGCAAGGGCGACACGAGTGAGCTTTCCAGTGTTGCCGCATGTGAATTTAGTACCGACAATGTTAGGGTGCTTGCCAAGCTTGATGATGAGGTCGCTGTCCATATCGATACCGGCAACGGCTCCTGGATAGTTGTATAGGATAATTGGGAGCGGTGAGCCATCTGCAACCTTGGTGAAGTACTCGTAGATGGCCTCTTCATCCATGGCATAACGGTAGTAGCTTGGAGGAACGGTAAGAACGTACTCGCCGCCCGCTGCCTCTGCTTCTTTGCAAAGCTCAATTGTGAGCTTGATACCGTGTTCAGAAGCTCCAACGATGACCGGAACGTTTTGGTAGCCAGCCTCATCGAGGGCTTCGCGAGTTGCTCGCGTGACAGCGGTTTTCTCGGCCCGTGACAGGTGGACAGCCTCTCCGTTGGATCCCATAGTAACAAGACCAACAAGACCAGCCTCGGCTAGTCGTACTGCATGCTTCTTGATTGTGGGAATATCCAGCTCCTCAGTCTCTGGGTCGAAGAAAGTCATGGTGGGTGAGTAGATACCCGGTCGGAGAGGGGTGCGTTCCTTGGAGTGGCCATTGGCCCCATTACCATTTGCTGCCATGTTTGCTATATGTCTGGTCAAGAAAGACTAGAGAGTGTCGATGAAGAAGGCAGGCTATATACGAGAATGCAAATTTCGGGAGAGAGGAAAGGGAGAACAATATCGATGATTCAAGTACGGGTTCGGGCAGCTTTAATATAGCAGCGAGATGGAGGCAATCGGCGCAAAGTAGGTCAGAGGAGCTAAGTTCGGCAGAGCTCACGTCTCATCCCACATTGACTGGCGTGTCTCAGTGGCTCTACCGTTGTCGAGATCTCGTCAAATGCGCCTCGGTGATTCGCCAAGGGCAGCGACAGTGAGGGCTAGACTGGAGTTTGGGTGCAGGGCTGTGGGCCATCTGGCGAGTTCGGGACACCACTGCGCGAAATGCGGGACATTGTGCGGCCTTTTCTATGGGAGTGACTAAAATCGGCGGTTGTGTGATGGGATAGAGCTGCATCTGGGGCAGGGTTAGCTGTCGAACATAGTGGCACAGCATGGCCGTGTTGGACGGGTGGCATTCTTCCACCAATGAGACATGGGGCGGCGCGTGGGGGGGCTGCGACTGTCCCTCTTTGCTTGGCCCTGGGGAAGTTCGCTACCCCTCGGAGACAATAAACTCCAGCAACCGCGCACACCCCAAGAGATTCCTCCAAGACACTTCTGGCGTGCTGAGACCAGCCCGGCTGCCTTATAGATGGCTTGGAGACGCCACAGCCATCGAAAACGGGCGCAAAACAATCGCCCTCAGCAAGACTCCGCCCCCACCACGACCAAAGGCCTCGAATGATGTAACGTCATCCGGCCGCGGCTGCCGGCAGAACGCGTGAGGGCCTCGTGCCCCTCATCGCGTTGCTGGGCCATATATTTTCCGTCGCTATCGATAAGTAGTCAAAGGCCGACGAAGCTATGTCGGGTATTGAGCGAGCGCATCCCCTTGAATTCAGCTCTTGTGTCGTCTCATCTCCCTCGGAAATCCGACAGTAGCTAAGGAACGTCTCAATTCATCTTCGCAAACGTCCAGATCTCAAAGGAAACGGTCATCATGGCGCCAGTAGAAGTCCTCATGGTATGTTGCCCTCATCGGCCACCTAACTGCAGCTGTCTCGCATGCATGCATTCATGCTCTTCCGTTACAATGCGTTTACAAAGCTGATTGCAAATCTAGGTTGGTACTGGAGAGTATACGACGGGATTCGTAGGAGGAGGCGCATCCAAGTCGGATAAGAAGGTTGGAGTTGTAGGACTGACGCTGTTCGACCTCCGAAGACGCGGCAAGGTTGGCAAACTATCTATGGTGGGCACATCGGGCGGCAAATTCCCCGCAATCCGTGAGTTGCACGGCGTCTGAATTGCTCTCCCCATGTGGCATGCTAATCTCTGCCAGGCGAGCATCTCCAAAAGAACATCTCCGAAGCATACAACAACTTGGATGTGTCATTTGAGGAATTTCCCAAAGAAGGGAAGACCGACCCGAATGCGTACAAGGCCGCGATTGACGCGCTTCCCAAGGGGAGTGCCAGTAAGTTACAGCGCATATCGGCTCTACTGTGTACTTCCTCTGATATCTCTTAGTCACCATCTTCACACCTGACACCACCCACTACCCAATCGCTTTGTACGCCATCGAACGCGGAATTCACGTCCTCATCACAAAGCCTGCAGTAAAGTTACTAGAGCATCACCAGGAGCTTTTGGCCGCAGCAAAGAAACACAATGTCTTCGTCTACATTGAGCATCACAAGCGGTACGATCCCGCTTACGCGGACGCGCGTTTCAGGGCACAGAAGCTGGGCGACTTCAACTACTTTTACTCTTACATGAGCCAGCCAAAGTACGTTTGAACTTGTGAAAGCGGAAATAACAGTAGCTGACAGGACAACTAGGAGCCAACTGGAAACGTTCAAAGCGTGGGCAGGTATCGACTCTGACATCTCTTACTACCTCAATTCTCACCACATCGATATCAACGAGTCTATGATTCCTGATTGGAAGCCGGTACGCGTCATGGCTAGTGCCGCTAAAGGTATTGCGACGGGATTGGGATGTGATCCTGCTACCGAGGACACTATTACACTACTCACAAACTGGGTGAAGAAAGATGACCCAAGCAAGGTTGGGACCGGTGTTTACACAGCTGGCTGGGCAGCACCACAAAAGGCTGGTGTACACTCAAATCAATATTTCCACTACATGGCGTCAACAGGAGAGATCCGCGTCAACCAGGCAAAGCGCGGCTACGATGTTACCGACGATGAGGGTGGCCTCCTTTGGTACAACCCGTAAGTTCAAGCACCAAAACATTGCCACTTCGCGTGCTAACAATCTTCAGATTCTACATGAAGTACGCTCCTGACGAGGAGGGTAATTTCGCCGGCCAGATCGGTTACGGGTACATCTCGTTTGAGAAGTTTGTTGATGCTGTCAACAAGCTCAACGCAGGCGAGGTCACACTTGACCAGCTAGACGCGCGGCCGCTACCAACTTTGAAGAACACTATCGCGACAACTGCAATCCTCGAGGCTGGCAGAAGATCGCTCGACGAGAACCGACCTATTGATATCATCGAGGAGAACGGTGTCTGGTCTCTGAAGTAGTTCACTTTCTAACCAAAAGCGATATGTCACTGCTCAATTGGACGCGAATCTCACATGCTTTCTAGTTAGTGTCTTGCTTGAATATGCCTTGCTTACCTTTATCCTGAGTTACACAGTCATTGTTTACTCATCAGCCACGGATCGCTAGCCTGATGTGATCGTCGCATCCGCGATGGCGCGGTTCCACGTGGTGACTGACACGCCGTTGCTGGGCTCCACCCCCACAACGCCAGGTTACCAGATAGTCATACCCAGAAACAAGGTCGTGACAAGGTCAAGGGTCTCCACAAAGTGGCATAGGTAAAAACAAGGGCCTTCTGAAAACCGGGAGATCATCGGGTGCTCTAGTCAGTTTCTGCGACGGGTTCGGGCGAACACCCACCGAGCAGGCAGGCTAGGGAGGACCCGAGACCGAGAATGCCCACTCCGACTCCGACACTCTGTCTCCCTAATTACTGACTCTCTTCCTTAGTGTAGCACAGGCCGATGGCTGGCTATCCTAGCTCAGATCTATGGAAGGCTTTTCGTCGTTGTTTCGAACTCTAATTTGACGTCGAAGACGTCAACTCAAATCCAACGTCGTGGTTACCCTTTGCGTAAGACTATGCGGTTGTCATTACTCAGCAGGGAGACGTACGCAAGCACATAGTGAAACACGCTTGTTACCTACCCATTGTGATTTTTCATCAGTTTATACAAAATGTTGCCACTTCATGTATCTTTGTTTAGTGATCAAGGGGCCTTTGCAGCCACAGAGCCACCACAGCCACACAAAGAACTGCTTCATTGATGCAACATCTTCGGTGACTCTTCGAAATAGTCTTTTACATTCACGCGCAGGATGACAGATGGTTGACGTATACATCACAAGTTCGACCTTCATGAGTTTATTACGAACCCATCTCGGTTGTCTGGCCGGTACAGATACTGTGATGAACATTGAACGTGTACAATAGCTACAGAATGTTGAGAACTGGTTGACGACGCTTGTCACTATCGAACAAGAGCTACTGAATTTCTTCTTGGTTGGTCGTTTGACTTGACTCCAACGACAGCTCAGGCGGAGGAACATGACCTTCTCTTCAGCAAGGACGACGCTGACGCGAGAGATGGATGTAAAAGAATAGACCGCATTATGTTAGGGCATAAGGATAATAGTAGTAAGTAAGATAGCCTCACTTCGCAACATTGCCTTCACTTAGCTCGATATGATTAACGTATGGGTCCTAGACGAAATTCTAAATGCAGGCTTCGATGCTATCAGCTGTGTTTTCCAATGTGAACAGCACGACATCGCTAATGTCAAAGGGGAGTTTGCTTGTGAGCTGTAATTCATCGGCTGTAGCGATTCAGGAACTTTGCAACCCACCAAAGAACCATAGGAGAGGTTGGAAAAGACGAAGTTCATTTTCATGCCCTCCACAAGCGGCGAGTGGAACATAATTTTTGAAATTGGCATATCGCTTGACACGCACTGGACTACCTTGATCATCGACTGCTAACAGTCCATCATCCACGCACGACACTACGACTCGAACAACTCTGGCATTAAGATGAGAAGCTTGGCTGCCGCTAAGCTGGTTCTCTTAGCATTCAGCAGCGTCTATGAACAACTACGACCGGACCACAGCCATAACAAACGCTTGAGGCTAGGTAACATCATTCTGGAGGATCGAACCTCAAACAGGATCTGTGATAACCAATGTATAGTTGATGCTGCGGGAGCTTGTGGATCTTTCATATTGGCTTTCGCAAAAGATGTTGTCCAGTTGGTTGCTGAAGGTAAAGAAGATGCCAAGCGCTTAAGAGGCATGCTGATGTTGACACCACCCTACTGGCTGGCTTTGCGTAATGCTGGCCATAGAACCCAGGAAAGGCGGGCTTTCATTAGTCCTAGCAGGCCTACTGTCATGACGTAGGTACTCAGCTAAGATAAGCAGGTGGCATCAGAGACGCCAGATCACTGCCACCATCTCAAACCTTCTCACTTCCAACCTCGAAAGCCTTCGTACCAGAATGATGCAGAGGTTTCCACAAAATTGAGGTGCGATCGATCGGTGTTAGCTAGGTATTATGTGGGCCAGCGAACAACCTCCGTCAAGGCCGACATTCGACCGTCAGCATTCTCGCACAACTATGAGGCCACCCCCAGATACTCGAACGGTGTTCACACCGTAATAGTAACACTAAATCGTATTCAATTCTTCATAATCTTGATATCGTCCTTTTGTCGGGTTATATCGACTCTATAGCACGGAATACATCACTAAGGATTCGATATTGCAGTGCCATAGAGTCGCTTCTAGGACAAGAAATTGGAAGATATCGGGCAGGTCAGCACGGTGCTCTTCGCTTTGCCTGGTTTGCAAGGACGTTACACCTCTATCTCACCTAAATCTTCGAGCTTGACAGCTCGTTCAAGCCGTTCGATCGTGGCGTATTATTCCCATAGAATTCATAATCTTCCATGATGAACGTCTCTTGAAATCCATTCCTTAAAGTTCGACTCCACAGCCCCTTTTCATCATCACAATGAACACGGGTGGATCAGGCTACTTAGGTAGAGCAAAGCTAATGTTGGACGAACCTTTCCAAATGTTCTTCGCTCAATCTTGGAAATTTGCGTAAACTGGACAGCCAGCCAATTGATTGGTGACAGTCTCCAGCATCAACGTGATGGAAGATGTCAGGGCTAACGGACATCCCAGTGCTTGTTCTGAATCAGAAAATCACGAATAACGAGCTAGGAACGAACCGTGACAAATTCTTCTTGGGGTCTGAGATTAATCTTGTTGTTCCACGCTCTGAATTCATCGAACTCTTGCGTAGTAATGACCCCAACAAGTGGAGGCTTTGATATATATGAAGGGGTTCATAGCAGGAAGTCTCGCTCTCGGTAAATCTAAAGTCTAATGTCTCCACCAGCAATAAAGCTTACCAAACCATTGCCGAAACAGAAGCATCGACATGGCTGCAATATCAAAGTATTGGCATATTTTCGATCTGCTAAGAAGGACCTCCGAGTGTAAAAATTACGGAACTGCCTTCTCAAGTACGATTTTCGCCAGAAACATTTTCGTCACCAACAGAGATGTCATTCGCACAGTAATCGACATTGAATATCGTACAAGACACTGAATGAATATGACATCCACATGACTTGACGTACTGCCACAGCCTGGGAATCTTACAGGATGATAGACACGGCTCTGGAGTTACTAGCTAAACTTGCATTACATTTGGGATTTTCCGCTTCTGACTAGAGAGCTTGAATATTGGTTGAGCAATTTTACGGTGTAGTTTCATTGCTCACTCCTCCTTACTGACATCTGAGTCACGAAATTGTAGTCTTTGCATAGAAGCGACTTGAAGTAAGGACAAGCACACGAATATTGATGTTTGAGGTTCCAATGTAGAAAGCAACGAAAAAACAGATGAGTAATATTCTACCTGAGAAGAATAGAAGTCTTAGGGTGTTAATCAATCAACCTTACTGGTTACCCAAACCGAGGCGCTGATACGCATCCCAAACAACCTATTCATCCAACCTCTTCTCCTTTGACCACGGTTGCCACACAGTCATGCTATCCCCCCGTCCAGCACTCTACCATCCATGCAATTCTTCTATGCCGAGTCGCAATTCAACAATTAACTCGTCTTCAGCTCTTTCAATATCTAGTTCTGGGTTGGCTTACGCGCCTCTACTGAATCATGATTTCTGTGCTGGTAGTAGTCCAAAGGTACGTCAAGACTGATGCAGTCGTTTTTCGCAAAGTTGCGATCTCCATATCGATTGATGACATATCAGGTGTCAGTCGCGTAACAGCTGAGACTGCTTTGGCTATTTCGAACGGTGCAAGAACATAGATTGTCGGTAGTCGTGCCACTGACACAGTTGATCCCTGCCGTATGTAATAGGCTGCTCTCGAACGTAAGATATATCCCATACATTACAACGGAGAAGGCAGACTGTTCGCATACGGGAGTTGCTATGTTCTCTTGACATGTCGACGTGTTTTTTTTGGGGCCTTTGTGAGTAAGAGAGCTTGATGGAACAACATTGATAAAAGGACAACGAAAGAGATGATATCTTTACGCTCTCGGCTCACCTGACCAAGCACGAAGCAAGGATACAGCAGGTCAGGGGGAGAACGAGGCAAGACTACAAGAGTACACCAAAGGCACAGTAGAGAGGCATAGATCAAAGATGTTCGTTGACATTGGTACGCGACTCGATTGCTGGCCCTTCATCAGAGCTGTCCATTGGATCATGATCTTTCAATGCAATTTCGACCAGGAAGTACAGCGACAGCAAGGTGACCATACATGTTCGTGCCTCCATTAGCGAACTCGGTTTCTTGCTTCACTACATCATAGAATGGTGCGCAGACCTGTTCTATCCCATGCTCCCATCTCTCTCATCTCCTGTGACAGCTTAACCAGCCTTTCCAACCTCGTCCAGCCTGGTTAGCATGCCCTGGACCTCTTTGACGAGGGCCTTGCGCTTGAGCCTCGCGTCTGGATCACCCTCAGTCTCGACACCATCCAGCTTGAAGATAATCTGTGTCAAGATAGTCTCACTTAGCTTCTTGTACTCGAACGTCCTCTTCGCCTTGTCCTCTGGTGGTCCAGCCATGAACTGTACGCACATGGGGACAAATTCGGTGTGAAACTTGCTAGCGATGGCATCGAGTTTGCCGATCGGGGTCTGGGGTTCGGCGGGTTTGGTATTCAAGGGAGGAGCGGAGGTTGGGCGCGGGGTTGCGTTGATGTGCGAGGGGATGGGGAGGTATTCCGCGCCCGCGCCGGCAGTGGTGTAGCCAGGCGTTGAAGTGCCAGATGCGTTTGCGGATGAAGCGTTCTTCTTCTTACCCTTCCTACCGCCGCGCTTGCGGGACTTCTTCTTGCTTGTGGTATTCGCACCCGAGTCGACATCATCTTCATCGTCGTCATCTTCATCCTCACCTTCGCTACCGTATGCGCGTTGTGTCTCTCCTGCGCCGGGTGCCAGACCGCCTGCCGGGGTCTCGCCGACTGTGACTAGAATCTCACTACCACTCCCATCGCCGCGAAGGCCTTCCTCTCGTCCGGTGCGTTCATCGTGCTTCAAGTTTCTGCCCTTGTAGAACATGCGTATGCGCCGATGGTCATCGACGCCTAGCTTCTTCGCAGCCGCTTGGCGCACCGTGCCAATCTTCAGATCTCCATCCCGTATGCTGTGCGCCGGGAAGTGTGTGGGATAGTTTGTGCGCCCATTCTTGAAGATGAGAACGTCTGTCTCCCGCTCCGGGTTCTTGTCGTCCCAATCTACGATTTCAGGCGCTTGCGCCTGACCGTTCCTTCGCAGATCTTCGTTCGTAATGTATGAGAAATCCGAGTCATTGACGACCCCGGCATTTGGTGAGTTGCCTGGTCGCCCGAAGGGTGAGAAGCGCCCTCCCCAGTTTCCGCCGGTGCTGCGAGAGAACCAGGACATGGTTACGACGACGGATGCTAGTGCGATAGCAAGGGTAGTAAGGTAGGTTGGATCGTCGAGGTGGGGGTTCGTGAGAAACTCGGTGATGTCGTGGAGACGTGGATGTTGCAAGAATCGCACAAACCTCGAGAGCGCGTCTGTGGGCTGATTCTCTTTATCGTGTATCGATGAGGGCGTCGTTGAGCTGAGTAGTGAGTGGGAGTTGAAGAAGTTGAAGGAATTCTTCAATTCGTCGACAAGGTTGCTTAGCGACGCCACGGTGGTGGAGTGAAAGTCGCCCTGCCAGTGTAGCAAGGCCGTAAGCTGTCCGCGCGTACTCGAATGACGTAGTAACTTGCTAGAAAAGCCCTTTTGTGTGTAGTGGGGGCTTCTGTAAGCGGTGTGAATTTATGAGACCCGACGTCGGTTCGGAATCTCCGACCGCTGCACGCGGAACTCGACCCACTTCATTGCTCATGTCCCTCGGCTTAGTCATACACACTGCAACATTCATAATGCTTGATCGATCTTAGTTGTACAACTAAAAGAATATCATTGTACCGCATCATACAACATATTTAGAGTTATATCGGATTATCTGTCACTGTGTTCGACTGTCGTATGCCATTCATTTAGTGTATTATACACAAGCTAAGCTTAATCATGAGGACCGTTTTCGTAATGTTCATTGTCCATTGGACACCTGAGATCCAGAAACAAAGGAGAAGATTTTGAGGTTCACGCTTTACCAACCATTACGCTCCGAAGCAATTATAAACTTGAATGAAAGGAAAGAAGATGTGGCAGAAACAAAATGGCGTGAGTCGTAAGATGATGCACAGGCATCATAACCGATACGCCAGCGAATGGCAAACAGAATACGTGAACTGAGAACAATGTTCGCTGTATCACAAGACAATGTACGCCAGCTATAGCTTGCAACGACGATACATCCCAATAGAGCTACGCTCAAGGCCCAAGGCAAACAAGCTCAAGCTTTGTTTCGCTTGGGTGTAGCAAGGAAAGCAAGCCTCGACTTGCTGATGGCACCTGAACGTACTGCTGGAGTGTGGCGAGGCAGCTTGCTCGTGCTGGCAGGAGTTTTCGCAACAGGCGCAGGCGTGCGCTTCATCTTCTTGTTGGATCGTGTATCATCTTGATGGGGGCCGTCGTTCTCTTTGTCAGACGTCTCTTGGAGCGTCTCCAGCTTGCGCTTTGTACCGTCAATAGCAGAGGACACATTGCTCTCACGGACCATGCGGATCGTACCAGAAGACGTCGGTCCTGAGAAAGTTAGTGCATGCAAAGAGAACAGAACCCATAGTGTGTACGTACCAAAGTTGACAGTCTTGCTAGACTCGAAGGAGAAGGAACGAGGGTGGTTGGGAGTTTCGCCACCGAAGGTGAGACGTCGTGACGGGCTGAGAGGAGTCTCAGTCTCTTGTGAAAGGTCTAGGTGTTGTGCACCTGAGCCCAGGTTAGGGTAGATTACAGCACCAGCAGGAACTTCGCTGCCTGCTCTGAACTTCATCGGTGACGGTGATTTGCCCAGCTCGTCGTGTGATGCACGCTCCAAAGTACTACTGCTGAAGTTGACTTGTTTCTTGACAGGAGCTGTAGCAGGAATCACAGGCAGAGTGCTATCGGAGTCTGAAGCTGGAGGTGACACGTGAGTGCCTGCCGCGATTTTACTAGGGTCGTCTGAGAATTTGCGGTTTGGCGTGCGGAGGATCGACCGGACACGCTGAAGGTTCTGGCTTGCCTACTGCTGTTAGTAAACGCTTGAATGGATATCGAAGAATACGCATACCTTGAGCATACTGTCACGTGCTCCATCCCTCATAGCCTGCAAATGACCAATGTTGCTAGTGGGAGGGAATGAAGTACCCGTTGAAGGCAACTTGACGCTGCGGTTAATGGATGGTGAGACTCCCAGGTTATTTGTGGAAGGTGAGCCTCCCAAGGTTGGAATCATCGACGTAGTCTTCAGAGTCTTCACACTCTGCGAACGCGCGATAGACGACTTTGTAGGTGTCATCAATCGCGCAGCTAGGCGAGGAAGCGCGGTCTGAGAGGTCTTCTTACGTGCCGAGGTAGCAGTTACACGTGCTGGGACGTCAGTCGTCTTCTCCCGAGACGCAGGACGAGTGGTAGCAGCATCGTCTGACTCGGTACGCTTGATACGCTTTGCCGCCGCGTTGTGGTCACCATCGTTATCGCGGGGGGCTGGTCGTCCGTCCCGTGTAGGAGGAGCCATGCGGGCTGTTGAATGAGAGCGTGGCAGACTAGATCCGACATTGTCCATCTTGGACTGGGTACGTTTCAACGGAGTTGAAGGAATTTTGCTTCCAGACGCTGCCAGTTCCATCTTCGACTGTGTGTGCTTGAGACCACTAGCAGAACTCGCGCTTGAATCTGCCAGATCCACCTTGGATTGTGTACGCTTGAGCTTGTTCGTCTCCGGGTTTGCCAAGTCTGGCTTCGAGGGCGACTTCTTTAGAGGATGGCCCACGACAGGCTTGAATCGGGTAGGGTCGGCGCGGAAAGCTGAAGGGTGATTCGCGATGGAATCCATGCTCTTGAACTGCTTCATGTGCACGTCACTGAAGCGAGCCATCTTGCCTTTAGCTTCGGCCTTCTTGCGCTGGGGAGATACGTCGGCCTTGGAAGACCATTCACTCGTGCCTATATCAAAATCAGTACTCGGGAAAAAGCAAAACAGGTTGAGCGGGCTATAACCGACCAAACAGAGCACGGCTCCCGCCGCCGGGAGTGCCTGTAATCCCAGCGTCTTTCAAGATGTTGCGCGAGCTTGGGCTCAGTGTAGCCTCATCTTTGGACAAGGGCGATTTGAAGCGGAAGCGGAAGTTGGGCGACGAGTCAAGCTGGGCCGTCGAAGCAGCAGGTACTGGGGTCTTCGACGGCGTCGCCTGGCCTGCTAAGCCAGCCGCTTTGGACGGCGCGGTATGCGCACCGAGTGATTGAAACCCGAGCCAGCGCGCCTCATCTAGAATCTTAGCTGTACTCGCATGATGGTGCGCGGGATGCATCTCCTGCCCTGCTGGCTTGATCGGGGTGCGATCCTTGGGAGTCTGGCTTTTGGCGGCATCAATGGGCAACTTGGTCGATTTGTTCTTGTGTGATGTGGGTGTAGCGGTCGCATGCGGTAGCTTTGACTCGGCCTTGGTACCTTCAGAGGCTTTCGAGGGCTTCTTCTGCTCCATACCGGGCTCTGGCAACTCTGGAAGATCCGGGAGTCCTAGGTTTGGCGACGAGGCGGTATGCCAACTATCTTCGGATCGCATGGAGGTGTCGGGCGTGGTCTCACGCTACAGAAGACGCATTAGTAGATGTAAACAAATGATAGAAAAGCAATACGCGCGCATACCTTGAGCAAACGAGCTGATCGACGCGCCATGTTGTCACGAAGTGTCGAAGAATGATCCACAACTAGGTTGCGACACGAAGATGAGCGGAGATTGGGGCTGGTCTGTGGGTGGGGAGAGACCAAGACGGGGGAGTTATCGGCTAGGGCGTCGATAAACAAAGTGCACGGACGTTGTTGTCCCAAAGAGGAAGCGACGTCATGAGCCATCTCAAGAGACGCGTACGAAGAAGCTCTTCGAAAGCACAGGCTCAAGGCTTAGGTTTTGGGTTCTGGACTGCTAATTTGCGTATGTTTGCCTGCATATGCAGTGACTTGAGCAAGTGTGCTCGTTTCTGAGAGAAGAAGACCAAAAGTTCCAAGGTCAAACTCCGCTTAGACAAACCCTAAAACGAATCATGAAATTATACACTGTTATCTTATATGTAGAGTCGCCAGGCACATCACTACGTACACCTTCAAGATACACTCCAGTGATCCCAAGTACATCTAATCAGAAGCGAGCTCCTTCGCAGACAGCATGCGATAACGTGCAACGACGTACATTGTAACACGGATACAAAGGAGTCTGAGCGTGATTCTATCGATCCCTGCTAAACTGGTTCATTGAGCCTGAAAATCTGCCCACCTATTGGGTCTTCGCATAGCCGCCGAATGTTGAATTCTGTCGATTCGTTCACCGGCCCTTCTGCGTCTCCCTCCCAAGCAGCGCGAAAGGCGGTTTCGCCAATCCAGCTTCGACACTCCTCTCTACCTCATCCCTCAGCCCCTCTATTCTTCTCTCCTCATCATCCCTCTGCCCCTTCTTCTGCTCTTCACTCTTCCAGACGAAGTTACCCGCGCCACCTCTCCCGCTTCTGGCGACAGGCATTTCCTGACCCTCAGGATGCCAAGGTGTGCTGATCTGTGGCTTCGATGACGTAGGGATTGCGGTTGCGTCAACAGCCTGTGTGAAGGTACCTTCTTTCTGAGGCTCAGTGGGCTGATACCAGTTGCCAGCACCGCCGCGACCCATGTGTGCGTAGTCTTGAGAGGAATTTGAAGGTTGCACTGGGGTCGAAGAGTGGATAGGTTGTGTATCGGTAGTGGAACGGTTGGCTTCGACGTCCTGTATAGACTGTCAGCTTTCTTGAAAGTCTATACGGTTGACAATGCAAGAGATGCATTAACTCGCCTCAACTGCCTTCTTGCTTTGCTCCTGCGCCGCGTAGTAATTACCTGCACCACCGCGCCCGTACGCCATCGCAAAACAGTGCTCACCAAGATGACTCAGGTTTGCTGTTGGATATATTGCTGTGTGTCGCAAAGATGCACAGGAGCTGTCGGTATGTCACAAGAGGGATGAATGATGTTCACAAAAGAACGACGAGGAGGCTGAGCGTAATTACATTGTACGCGGCTCCGAGTGGGTCGTCTGAACTCATATCAATCCGTGCCCGACGTTCTGGACTGATAGCAACGTGGGGAAAGGCTTGTCTAAACGACGATCAACGAGACTCAATGTGGGGTCTGAATTGGTCATAAGCTTGGCAAACTGATAACGCGGGTTGCCAAGCAGGTTCCGCAGTCAACAAGTACGGGTGCAAACCAGGTAAGAGGGACTTCTCTACATGTCTCAAGCATGGGCAGTTATTGCCACGTGTAACGCGTAGAGCATCAAGTTGAAAAGCTGAAGAGCTAAAAAATCGTAATATTCGCACATTGTGACTAACAAGTGTGAAGCTAAACATGCTACAGGAAGGCCTAATCCCTGGTAGTGGCCATGAAACAAACAGAAGGAAGACATCGCTATCTCGATAAAACAACCATTGACCGTCAGCCCGGATAATGCCACCAGATTTGGCGAACGCCTGAACACCATCCCACCGAGCTAAACTCCACGAAACCTCACGAACCCACAAACAGCACGGGCACTACTCTCGACCCTCTTGTACAGCACGCAATACTGGGTAAAGGTTGTGCGCATCATCATCGCTCATGCGGCGCTCATGCACGTGCTTGACGTCTTCCTCATCGTCAGAGAAGTCGTGGGAATCCAGCCTGTCCTTGAGGTATGCCCTAAGTCTTTCAATAACCCGGATGTTCTCAACCCACGATTGCTGAGATGAGTCACCTTGCTCTGTGGGGGTTGATGAAGCAACGCTTGGAGAGCGAAGAGCAGGGTCAACCTTAGGCGAGTGAATAGCCAGCTGGTTAACGTCATGGTGGAGACTATTTTGCTCGGAATCCCGGCGGTCTTTGGGTGAAGCACCATCGCTCGAAGTATCCATGTCATTCTCTGATCGATCTGGGGCAGCCTTCTGCAGAAGGTTCCCGGAGAATCGTCGACGGCCATCAGTATCAAACGCAGGTGCAAGCCCAGATGATGGAGCTGCAGCTGACATATCCGACATGGCGCTGACAGATGGAAGAGTAGGGTACATGCTACCAATTGAAGTCCTTGACGTGGGGGATACACCGTTGTTTGAGGAGTGTTGCGCGCCGGGGGAGTGCTGAGATCCGTACGATAGCACGCTCGATGCAGGAGTCAGAGCCGGGGTTTCGGCACTGGTTGACCCAATAGCAGTAGCGTGAGATGACTGGGAGTGGCTAGAAGATAGGCCAGGCGGTGAGTTACTGGAGCGGTAGCCAGCGCCAGTGTGAACGTAATGGCTAGGATGAGCCACCCCAGCGGCTGCAGCGTGGTTGGGGTTCTCATAGACGGTGCTTTGCAATTGCTCCAAGAATTGGTCGATGTTTAGAAGATCGCTCTTGGTCCTCAAATTAGGAAGCGGCAAGGAGTAGGGGTGGTGCATGGGCGGGTGCTGCGCTTGAGCAACCATTGAGCCTCCGTGGCCATACTCAGACATACCGGCGCCTTGGTAGCCGCCTCCGCCACCTCCAAGTACTGGAAGCTGCACACCCTGGAGACCCATGAGTCGTTGACCGACATCATAGTAGGTGGTAGGGTCGATTGCGCGACGCTTGGCGTCTCCGAAGAACTCATTTAGCGCATCGTATGCAGCACGCTTCCTGATCTCGTAGTCGTTGTTGAGCTGTTGAGATTGGTTGACAGCATAGTAGACTGGACCGTAAGCAGAGTTTTGGGGTGGGCCTCCATAGAAACCAGCTGGAGCACCACCTGGGTGTTGCTGGCCGTAACCTCCGTTGGGGCCAAGGGCACTATCGGGATACTGGTATCCACTTGCTGTAGCGGCAAGTGCCTGCAAGTCAGCGACCACTGCAGTAGTCTGTTAGATATTGAAAGAGAGTGAAGGGCAGACGTGAGAGCCGACGTTGAGATCGACGAAGTCATGTGAGGAGTACTTACGTTTGCCGTTCTGGCCCGGGTAGCCTTGGGCGCCATGGGGACCGCCTCGGTTGGGCTCTGGAGAACGGAGCAATACGGAATCGTCGGCGTGCGTCTTTACGTGCTTCTTGAGATCCTGAGGGCGCTTGAACGCCTTACCGCAGAAATCGCACTTATGCGGCTTCAACGGGACGTGTACGCGAATGTGAGAAGTGATGTGATCGCGTTTGACCGTGGTGGTGCGGCAGTTGCCCCACTGGCAGGTCAAATTCAGGTTGTTGGTGCTCTTGCGACCAACATGGCGCTCACAAACGTGATCCTGCAATCGAGTCAGCGGACTAGAATGACAAAGCGACAAGATCGAACGCGTCGCGGCGCGATATGCAGTCGCTAGAAATACTTGGCGGTCAACTTACATATAGCTGCTCGGCAGAGGGCAGACGGTCACCACAGTTTTGCCATTGACAAACAAGCTGGTCGCCTGAGCCACCAGCAACTGAGGCGGGCGTTGGGGCATTCTGCTGGATGGGAGTGCCTTGGGGTTGTTGTTGAGGAGTTGTGGCCGCTGCGGGCACTGTACTCTGGACTTCGCTCATCGTCTTGGCGAAGTCGAATGTTAGTTGCCAATGATGATGAAGGTTGGTGGTGTGCAAAAGAGTCAGAACAGCTCAACGTGATGACAGATATCGCAAAGTTAAGCCGCGGGGTGGAAAGAGCAGCCTGGGGTCGTGGAGCAAAGTCAGAGGAGAGAACGCCCAGAGGTTTTCGCGGGCAGTTGGCAGCTTTTACCAGCGGAACGGAGCGGGCGAAGATTCGCCCAGAGAAAGAGAAACTGGCGCGGTCGAAGAACGAGGCACAGCCCTGCTAAGCCGAGCTTGGAAAGGTCCGGGGATGGTGGGCAAAGCCTCAATGTGATTCGGCCTTGTCATCCCAGCTGCCCCACTCTCTTACTCACTGGCGCCTTGGCCCTCATCTTGGCCAGACGCGATTGCTTCGCCGACATCCGTCAGTCGCAGATGACCACATGCGAACCACAATCAAGTAACCGCTCCCTGTTTTCGCGGGGCACTTGGTGCGCGTATCGAGAGGCGCTACGGACGAGGAGGGTCATGGGCGTTGTTGTGTGCGGTGGGTGGATGGGATACGTTGCCACACCCTCGACCCCTCACACTGAAGCGACACAACCGAAACAGCAATCAAAATGCGGAACTCTTGGTGCCCTTGGCTCATCAGCAACAGCGGGAAGTATTGGCATCCAATCTGCTCCAGTTTTTGCTGCGTTCCCACACTCTTGTCACGCCATCGCATCGTCGCCACTGGGCAGCTGTGGCTCGCGGGCTGGTTATGCTACAGAGTACATACCTTGGAACAAAGAGACACCGAGTTGCGCATCGCATGGCCTCTTAATTTCCCGTCTCGGACTAATGGCTCGTCGCATTCGCATTTTGCGCCAGTGGGACATCGATGCTTGTCCAGCATCCCTTATCCTGGCGAGTACTTTAATGGTACTCCAGGAAATGTATGCGCTCTTAACACCAGTCAACATGCTCTCGACGCTTGAGAGATGGTTCAATAACAATGTTTTTTACTATCGCGATCACGCTGCGTCCGTACAAGGATGGATTCTGTCACGATCGACCTTAGTCTTACAACTCCTCAAGTATTTGGTACACACCTAGGACGCTCAGCCCCTCGACAAGATCCTATGAACAGCTCGGGGTTTCGAAATCTCAAACGATCGCCAACTTTGAGCGGGATGTCCACGCATCCACGTTTCCACTCTTGGCTTTTCGCCAAGTGCCCAGCAATGTAGGCCAAGAATTGAGCGATTATTACATTGAGGCTATGCACGCTTACGAGGCAGGAGGTATGGCCGTACGGAACAATGTCATTTGCCGCAAGTATAGCCTTGCAAATGGTAAGTTGTACGGGTTCCTGACGGCCAACTATATCAGCGTTGCGCTATTTACTCTCTACCAGAGGCCCAACAGATTTCTTTTTTAAACGTAGCCGAAGTTCGATCTCCATACTTCAGGGGCAGCGAGAGCTACCGCCCGAACGTGGGTATGGCTTAGATCATGTCTCAGCACCCCAAAATCGGCACTTCTTGTGTCCAACATCGCTGCATTCGACAAGCAAGGCGCACTCTGAACCAAAGCATAAGTGTCACAATTCCATGATGAATTTCTAGCAAAGAAGCTGTTTCCCCGCGTACCTTGTTATCTTCAGGGACACATTTGCGACGGGCCTTCTTCGTTTCTAATGAATTAGGGTACCTGATCATGGACACATCGCGACCTCAAATGACTTAGTTTCGATCTCTCTGCTATATCTACCGAGCAAAAGACGCGTGTACATACAATGCATGCAACCAGCCACCTGTAGCACCCACTCGGGCAGCCAACGCGCAAGCGTAGTGGACGGACGAACGAGCCACAGCACCGCCACATATACCTCCTATCTGCACCATGACGGACGCCTTGCCACTACTCCGTCGTCCAAGATCAGCGGAGGGGCTTGGAAGATTGGGGCAGGTCTTAGTGCCCATCACGCTCTGTTCCTGTCTGCCGATGCATCCGCTTCCTCGTCCCGCACGAACACCAAGAGTACGGCAGAGCGGAATTCTTGATTTTGAGCCGCCAAGCAACAACATGTACTTTCTCCGCAGAACATCGTCACATCAACTCTTTATTGACCAACCCGTTGCGAAACCCGTCGTAGGGTTTTGAGCGCCGTCTTGCTGTCAGCATAAATCTAAACGACATCCGCATGGGGGCGGCCCTTGGTCGAAACACAGGATCATCTACTAGGTCCTGCCAGAGATCGATGCCCAAACGGCTGGTTAGGATCAGCTCAAACTCTGCAGATTTAAGCTTTGTCGCATATGTATGGCTGGCGGCATCATCGTGCAAATACGTGATGCTCCCCATCGTCCAGTCTAGAACAGAAAACATACCATTGACACGTTAGAGAGTATGACATGCAAGACCTCCCTGAAAGCACACTGACCGAGACTCTATGTGGCATGCGTCACCCCGCTGGCGTTGCCCAAACACAAGCATACTAGATAACACGCAGAATAAGATTCGCAACGGAGGCTTAAACACGTCTACAGCTTTTCATTGCTATAACAAAACGTCATCGATAGCGACATACCCACCAACAAACAACCTTCCAGGCCTAGAGCTTGGCCCGTTTCCTGTCCCCCAATCTCAGCCTATCCTCTCTTCTCACCCGCCTTTCTCAACACATCAGCAACAGCATAATATGCTGGCTTTCTCTGCAGGTTCTGATTCCAGAGACAGGCATTGCCCTCCCCTATAAAGGTCTCAGGCACCCAGCTAACCGTGTCCCAAAAGTCCCAAACTGTGACTCCAACGCAACTTTCCTCATCCGCACATGCGCGAACCGAGTCAGCATAGATGGTAGCCTGGGCAGCTGTCTTGTTTGCATTGTCTGGCAGTGTCATTCGAACATCAAGTTCAGTCAACGCTGTTTCCAGACCCAGGCTAGAAAAGAGCTGCTGCGAAGCACGAATATCAGTATACAACGGTGCTCTGCCCACTGTAAAATGTGCTTGTAGCCCCACACCATCAATGGGCACACCGACGCCTTGGTACTCTCTGATCATACGCGCAATAGCCAAACTCTTGTTGTTCACTCTCTCAATTCCGTAGTCATTATAGTACAGTTTGGTGCCTGGACTTGCATATTGTCTTGCTAGACGGAATGCATGTTCAATGTATTCTGGACCGATGGCATCCAACCAGATTGTCTTTCGCAGTGTGCCGTCGTCGTTAAAAGCTTCGTTTACTACGTCCCATGCGTAACAATCGTCCCAGTAATACTCTGCGACGTTTTTGATGTGGTTTTCTAGGACCGTAAGCAGACTGGCTTTGGTCCAGGTACCTGTTGTGAGCCAGGTGGGGAGTTGATTGTGCCAGAGAAATGTGTGACAGCGGCGGATCTGATCGGCCTCTTTGCTGGCGTCGACGATTTGGTCTCCCAAAGTGTAGTTGAAAAAGTCGCGTTGCGGCTCTGTGTGTACCCATTTCTGGCCGTTGGAGGCGGTTACTTGGTTGAACTCGGAGCGCTTGAAGGCTATGGAAGTGTATCCATCGTTGTCGAGGACTACGTTGTCAACAGCCGTACCAAAGTACTTGAGCCCAGCTTTCTTTGCGAGATCGCTGAGACCTGGAGCTGAGTTCAGGTGAGAGACAAAGCTGGAGCGTGGATGTATGGGGGCAGGTGTTGGAGAAGCAAGTACAAGCGGGAAGACAGAGCAAATGACAGAAAGCTTCATTCTGAAGTCCTCGAGGTGACCGAAGAAAGGAAGAAATCTCAGACATGGCGCTTGTTGTACGATATCCGAATTCCTATCAACCCTGTTCGTCGATTACCCGCCACCGGAAGTACAGTGTAACCCAATATACAGTCCGGTCTTACAAAGGTATGATAAAATATAGTCTCCCTATCGTTGGTGACGGTGAAAGTGTCGGTAAAATGCTTAGTATCTACTGTTGTTGTGATAGCCAACCCCGATTTGGAGAGCATGGCGTAAGGCCTCGAGATCAAACCCGTACTGCAATATGATATAATTTAGAGCTAGGTATACCGTGAGCTCTGAAGGACATTCATGATATGAATCCCGTGCAACAATATGTAAAGCTTTATAATGTTCATCTGGAAACAAGACGATTGCAGAGAGAGGTGTTTACATGCTATCAAAGCGGGTATCCTAACACAGCAGCCTGGGCTCGAATACCTTAGCCAACAAACGCTAATTGGTGGGACCACAGAGTAGTACTCTCGAGTCTGTTATTTAAGGCAGTTGCTTTCTTCCAGGCCAAGGCACATATTGTGGTCATTCGCTAACAGCTTCGGCGTTGCAAGGTATGCGGCAGGACGGAAATAGGCTAAATCGAGGTTCATCAGTTACGGCTACCACCCCCCTTTGAAGCTTGGCTGTGCTCAGCACTCCTTTTGTTGAGGAGTTTGTATTACTCTATCCCTTCTATCATTGTATCTATCATGCTCCGCTCCAGTGACACCTTCATTGTAATTTTTCGATACCGTTGAAGACACCAGCTTCTTCCAGCTCTTGGATAGAAACCTTGGGCATTGGACTGACTGCATCTGCACACTTGAGCGCACTTTCGATGCTGCCCCAGAATGCATCAAGGTTAACGCTTCTGGGTATGCGACAGCCACCTTCACCGATTGGAAGCTTGGTGACCTTTGTTCTACCAAGCTCACCAACTTTCGACTTGTCGGACGAATGAAGGCCTTCGGTGACTACATCAACTTGGAAGCGTTCGCCGCCCCTGTCATCGAATATTTCGGGATTATAAGCAGCTGCGACAGCGAGCGGATCATGTAACGGTGGCCCTTCTGTTATAGAGAAAACCTCAGCGTATGTCCCTGCGAAAAAAGACATGATTTGAGTGAACAAGGCCCGCACAGCCGAAGGTGTGTGGTCACTCTTCGAGCCTGGCGAGTTCCATATCGCATCTCCGTATAGCTGTGTCTGGCGAACTTTCTTCGTACCGAGAACTTGATGCGTCAGATCAAGAGGTACAAGTGTCGTCTTGGGCTTAAGAACAGGGTGCGAGAAGATGAAGTGAGATGCTTCAGGATCACACTAGACATGTCAGCGTTCCCCCCGTGTTTTGGAGCAATCGGTTTTCTTACGTAGATCTGTTGGAGTAGGTCAGCCTTGTCTATTGGCGCCAGATATGAAGATTGTAGCATACGTTGAACTCAGCATATGGCGTCCAGTTGCCAAATCTTTCGCCCTCTCCCTCAACCGTACCCATTGGCGCATCCGTAAAACCTCCACCCACCGCACCACCCATTATACTGAGACCTTTGAGATGAGCCGCTAGATGGGTGTACTTCTGAAATAGCATGCCGATGTTGGTCAATGTGCCCGTGGAGACCAACCAAGCGGTGTTTGGTGGTGTAGCCATGAGCGCTCGGTACATGGCTTCGAGGTGGTCGACGTCGGTCGCTGCTGGTTCGACGGGACTCGGTAGCAAGGTGACACCATCCAAGCCGGACTCGCCTGCGACAATTAGCGCATAACCATCAGTTGTTCGGGGAGGCGCCTGTACCATGGATGTCGGCAGCATGTACAGCATCGCGTACGAGAGGCTTCGAAGCGCCAGTATAGACCTTCACATGGCGCTTTCCAACTGCCTCCAAGATTGCCCTTGTGTTGTACGTGGTCTGCTCGAGCGCAGCATTGCCGTGGACAGTGCTTACGCCGAGCAGCTCGACTTTTGGATCGTGCGCGCAGAGCAGGAGGGCATAGGCATCCTGGAGTCACGATGAGCAGCGTGTCGGGGAGAGCTTATCTGAGACTCACATCATGCCCGGTATCCTTACTTGGTCAGCATTGCACATGAAGAAGGCACAAGCAAATACACACGCAGTCGAGCCAAATTGGAGTCTTGGAAGAAGGAGCGCTCATAGTATATTATATGGCCCCGGGAACCGTGTTTATTCTACGTGCAGCTTCGACTGCAGATACGTACCACATGCACCGTATGCACATGCAGGGTCGTAAGCGGGATGCTTGGTGGGGTCCACGGGGTGCCGCACCCCTACTGGCTGGAGAACCAGGAACGCGGGTCTCTATCGACGTCCGTTCTATTGATGCTCGGCTCTCACCCAAAGGCCTTAGAGGACACCACTGGCCTGCTCCGAAACATAGCGGTGAGAGGAAGAAGGAGCTCGCTCATCCGGGTGCTTTGAGCAAATTTCGATTGGCTGGTTTCTCCGGCACCGTCAGCCCTGCATCCAAGTCCGAGCCTAGGTCATGCTAGACACGGATTCGTGACAAGCACACGTACACAACGCTACTGCTCCACATCGCTGTCCTACACCTGGCTTCATTCATTTCAGTCGCGACGCGCCGGTTGTTAGGCGTACACTTCGAGGCCGCAAGCCATCTCTGTAGGTTCTTCAGTCGAGGACCTATCCGCCGTAAAGCCGGGCTGATCCAGGAGCTGTTCACATGTGCGATACGCAACGTTGGTTGCGTTGAGCGAACTTCGAGATGGATCTCCTTCGGCGTCACAAGGGACACCACGAGGTGAAGACAGATCGATACTGGGCACTTGGGTATTACTTTGAAAGCCTGAATGACGAGCAGAAACATCAACGCCGGGAGTATCTGGAGTGGTATGGGTTTATCGCACAGTGGTCGGTCTTGGTAATATTTGCGCTTTTCCAGATTGGCTTCGCCTTGTCTTGGGTGATGAGGACTAGTTTGAGGTATGATCAGCCCAAATCGCCATCGTTCACCAAACGGCCAAAGGATAGATTAGGATGGCTGCGAAGTATCCAGAGTGGCTGTAACAGGGTGACATGGTGGATGAAAAAGGATGTGGTTGGAGGGTGGGGTTGGGGTACAAGAGGAGAATGGATTGGTGCAAGTATCTGGACCGTATGGCTGGGGTACCTTTGCATTGCTCATACTGGCAATGGTATGGATTCTGAATATTTGCCCTTTGTGACTTAGACTGACCGTACACAGACTATCTCCATCTCACAAAACGTTTCGGACAAGTTGGCGCATCACAGTTACCGATCCATTACCTACTTGCGGTGCGAGCGCCCTACAGCCCCGTACAGTATTTGACGCGACTCTCCCATGAGCAAATCAAGGCCTCGCATCAGATACTGGGACGCATCACATTCTTACTTTTCCTACTACATACAACCCTCTATCTGAACTTCTTCATTCTTTCCGGTTTCCTGGCAAAGCGCATCAAAGACTGGGATGTCATTTGGGGCCTTGTCAGCATCATCCTCTTCTCCACTATCTCGACGACCGCCCTGGGATTCGTACGAAGAAAGAACTACCGGGTGTTCTACATCTCGCACATCGCCATTGCGAACTTCATCGTTGTGCCTCTGTACCTACACGTATCGCATATCCGCATATACGTGTACGAGGTCCTCGCGATAGAAGCATTTCATGTCATTTCCCGGGCTTTGCGTTTGAACATGTACCAAGGCACCCTCCGACTTCTTCCTGGCACCAATCTTGTCCAGATCCGCATCCCGTTACCAGCAGAGAGTACTGCGCTTGTTTGGAAGCCTGGGCAGCATGTGTATCTTAGCAGGCCGCATATCAGGGGGAAGACTCCCACATGGTACGACCAATGGCTTATGACAAACAAGACGAATCCTTTCACCGTTGCTTCTCTCCCATCGAAGGACAAGGAACTGCTCCTTATTGCGAGAACGCTTAACGGCAACACAAAGTATCTGGGAGAGCTAGCGCGCTCTTTGTCGCAAGGAGGAGGTAATGTGCCAATGCTGCCTACAGCTGGCGGCGATATTCCCATCTTGCCATTTTCCCTCGAAGGACCATATGGGGCGTCAAGTCGCCTACCGGATTTTTCAGACTTTGACAAGGTACTTTTGGTTGCAGGGGGCGTTGGTGCAACGTTTATCGTACCCATCTATCGGAGCATTATCGAATTACACGACCCTGCGCCTGTAGGTACGCAGATCCGATGCATTTGGGCGGTTCAGAAGTTGGCCGAAACACAGTGGGCATTCCCTGCGAGTTCCGCATCTGATGACGAACACGAAGACGACGCAGTAGCCGACACGAATGAGACTGGATTGTTACATGGCTCGCGCAGCGTAGAAGTTTATGTTACACGACCTTCAGGGCCGAGATCACGAGCCGATGCGAGCGCGACCGGTGTTTTCGCTATCGATCCGGACGACGACGTGGGGGAGGTGATCGAAATGCAGGAGAATGAGCAGCTGTTGGACATGGAAGAGCAAATGGAGAAGTCGCAAAAGGGGATGCTTGTCAAGAGCGGGAGGCCGGATCTTAGCAACGTGGTAGATGAGGTGTTTAGCAAGGGTATGAGAACGGCGGTAATCTGCTGCGGGCCGAAGAGGCTGACAGATGATCTGAAGAGAAACGTTGAAGTGTGGGTGAAGAAAGGGCACGACGTATTTTGGTACGACGAAACGTTTGGCTGGTGATAATGAATTGAAGTTCATAGTCGGCGTGATATTGAAATGGTGAACAGCGTTATACCTGCCGCCAACCCGGCAATTGGGTACTCGCAGTGGGTCACATCGATCATGCATGCTCCCGAAACTCTGGGCCTCCCACTTGGAACTGCGAAGGTGAAGACATGGACATTGCATGGAGGCTTTGAAACTTTGAGGCTACACGATGGACCAAACTCTAAACTACTGACGGCCTCTAGACTCGCTCGATCATCGCAACGTCGGGCTGTGGGCCGTTGCCGGAGGCCATCTTGTCAGGAACGGGAAAGGCGTAGGGAGACGGAAGCTTGTCCAGACAGTTGTGCACTGAGCAGTCTGTGTGCATAACACGGAAACAATCAAACTTGGTTCATGGGTGCCTGCGATGTTTACCCGGCGTGTGGTGTTTTTGGTGCTCGTCAGCGATGGGAAGGGGGATGGTCAAACAGTAAAAGGAAGCGCGTGTCTGGAACTGCGAACCATGTGCCCAAGTAGTATTTGCTTTTTGCACATAGCTGTCGCAAAGCCGTTCAGGTTTAAGGAGTTGGACCCATGAAGTCCCCATTCCCCTTTGGTCGCGGCGCAGATTAGACGAGGCCCGAGCAGACTGCAGCCAAGCGCGAATCACCATCTTCCCCGGCAATCAGAGCAACGCTCCCAAATCCTCTTCTCCAAGGGCTCCTTCATCCCGTCGCGACTCTCTCACGAATCATTGCGGCTGCTGGACCCATTGTGTGCGGCCGTGTCTCGGATCGCCGACTTCTGCTTGTCTTTCGTTGTAGTAATTCTCCTTCTCTTTCCTTCTGATAGCACGCGCCGGTACCAGTTGACCACACCCTTCACCAAGCAGGGAAGTTGCTTGCACGCGCATGCAAACCACCCCTCACAACTTCTGGCCTGCGTCCCCACACCTACGTCTTGCCTCCTTCTCGCCCATGGCATTGTTTTTATAGCTGCAGTGCTCCATAATAGGGAGGTTTCTACCGTGAGGCTACTTGTACACGACAGCCTGCCAGCGGCCGTGGTCTGCCCGGCATCGCCCCTTCCTTCTCCGCCCTCGAAACCCTACATTGCGCCGTCCAGCCGACGTCGACGGGTCTCGCGCTCCCAAACCAACTTTTCCTACCGCCTCGTAGTCTCGGGCGGCACGTCATCGGACGGACCCCCAGCCACCTCGCAGCTCCTTCCATGGCGACTTTCGCGGCATCCCGCCAAACCCCAGCTTCGATCCAGCAACTGACGCCCCCTAGCAGTTCCCACGGCGCAGGAGGGTCGTGGGACTTTGCTGTGCCTGTCAACGATTCGGTACGTACCAAGTTCAGTCCCTGTGAAGCTGCGTCATATGGGTCCGGCTCGACTTTGCCTTTGCACTAAGTGCACTACTGCGCCTGTCCCCATGGCGCATCTGACCGCCAACTTCACCCACTCACATCCTGATTAACAAACTCGCCTGCAATCATGTCAAGCTACGAGCGATAGTGTGCTGACAACCATCCCAGAGGCAATCATATGAACAGGAGCCCTACATGTCTGAATACGGTGCTTCCGCCCACGGTTCTCGCCAACCCCTCACATCGCAAGCCAACGGTTTCGTCAAGCCTGTACGCTCGCCCACGTGGGACTCGCAGGATCTCAACCAGGCTCCCGACCGCATGAATGAGCTGCACAAGAAGAAGAGTGGAGACATGATTGCGAACAACATCGACCAGGATAGCGTGTTGGAGTACTACAAGAGCCACACCAACAACAAGAAAGGTCCCGTCGCCGTCAAGGGAAAGCCCAAGAAGAAGACGACAAAGTCTGGTGCAACAGAACCCGAGTATGACGAGAATCACTGGATACACAGAGACAAGCTCAAGGAGATTGAAACACGAGAACTCGAAGAGGCAGGTTTCAGGGTTGGCCGGTCGAGCAGATCCAACAGCCGCTCGCAAAGCGCCACACGACGTGCGCGAGACCGCACAAACTCCGCATCGACCGAACGGACACAGAACGGCGAAGAGCGAACCGAGCCCCGAAAGCGCATATCCACAATACCAGCTGAGGATGAAGAGCCGATAGAGGGCTACCATGCTTGGAGCCCAACATTCCCGGCTGACGGCACGACTGAATTTCAACCAAGTTCTCAGCGAACGAATCACACTGTGAGGCCTAGTACGTCTCGCATTCCCCTGCCTAAGACTAGCGGTATACCTGTACCTGCTTCAATGGCAGAGCGTGACGCGCCGCTGCCGAGATCTAGAGCAGGTAGTGGAAACTGGAACGGTGATGCCATCGCTACCATGGGTGCACGAGTGCGAAGTGGCAGTGTAGGCAGCCAAGCGTTGCTCGATGATGCAGACGATGGTCGACAAAGGACTCCACCGTATGGTAGTGGCCATAGGCGCAATACTTCCACCGGAAGCTGGAGTCCGCCAAAGTCACCCCAAAAATCTCCTATGAAGGCCAAAACGCCCGGCAAACCGAACACTACCTCTGGACCACGTAAAGCTAGTGCTCAGACGAAGCCTAGGTCTCGCGTGACCTCCAATAACTCCCCTCCGAACCGTCCGCGTACCAGCGGTGGGTCTACTACAACAAGGCCCACTACAAGCAACCGACCAGAAGGTGAGGCCCCGTGGATAGCTTCCATGTACAAGCCCGACCCACGGTTGCCTCCGGATCAACAGATCATCCCTACGCATGCCAAGCGTATGCAGCAAGAGCAATGGGAAAACGAGGGGAGGGTCGGCTCCATGTACGACAAAGACTTTAGACTGCTGAACGATGACGACATGGCGGACAAGCGACTGTCGCAGCTCGCCAATCTTGATCCCATCGCTATAGAGAAGGCGCGGGAAGCTGAGACCTGGCCCCTTCCCAGTCCCGTGAAGCCAGACTCACCTGCATCGCTTGAAAGAGTTGACACCAACACTGCAAAGTCTCCAGTCAACGAGCAAGGTGCCTACAGTCTGACTCCGAAGATAACCCAAGGTCACGAGCGTGCTCCTTCACCAAAGCTAGCCCCTCCCATCGCGCCCGCAGAGCCAAAGCCTGCAGTGACTCGCATGCCCGAACCGAAGGAGGAGGTCAAGGAGAAAAAGGGCTGCTGCTGCATCGTCATGTAGCTTTCATTATTCCATATACCCATTTCCGTTCCTTACTCATACCAACTGCGTTCAAAGACAGGTTTCCTTCACTGTACGGCGTTCCTGGCGCACAGCCTTTTGGCTGGGTGGCTACTTTCCTCTCTATATTCTTCTCGTTGCAAATCTGGGCTGATAGCGTTCAGCGATCATTCTAGTGTTATCACTTGCTACTTTTCTCGACCCTCCGTACAGTTTGTGCGTTTGGCGTTTGTATTCTTTCATCTGACTTGGGATTCTTTACATCCATGAGTATATCTGATCGGGCGGACCGCCAATATTTCCTTAGTTTATCGTATACAGAGATAGGACGCTCATGTCCGAGGCTAGCAATGGCTTGAGAGTAGGAGGATGAGATATGTTTGGAGAAGACATGGCTACGGCAGGTCCAAGCAGCAGCGGTGAAGCTGCGTCGGTAGAATGTACAGACATACAATGATAACAGTCGTCAAATACTTTCACTTTGTCTGATAGCCCGATACGATCTCGTCCGTTAATTAACGAACATGGTTATCTGTGCCTAGACGGGCCTATCTTGATCGCGTTGAACCTAGACTGCCTGCGTGTAGCAACATGTGTCTTGTGGCTCGTATTACACACGCAGATATTGTCTAATGATAACAATGTTTCAAGTTGCTGACAGCCAAGTATCTTGTTGTCGATGATGGTTCCTTGATCTCTGTGGGCTCATTGATTTTCATGATATTCGGCGCCCTACTAGAGCTGTTCTACACGGTGAAAGCCTACCCTAATGGTACTCGTATAGTTTCATCTTGATAGACCTCTGAGGTGACCAGCGATGGAGTAAGCATATACCATTAATTTCCGCTTATTCAGTATAACCTCTACTGCATGTGCAAGAAGAGTGAGTTTTGCGTGTCGGGAGCGAAAGAAAATATGAAATGCGCTAACCACTTACCAATCGGGACTAGGGCTTCCCACACGGTCGAAATTGAGCTCGGCGAATTCCACAACTTTTTGAGCTTTCTCTTTATCATACACCACCAACTCTTCGAGGAACACCCGACAGATAGAAATCACCAATCATGGTATGTGGCCCTTTGTCTCTGCTCCGGGTTGAGTTGCATCTTCTCTGGCAAAAGAGAACGATGTAGCGCTCAGCACTGCTACCCCGCCCTTCGCACCTCAAGAACATCACTGACGACGCCACCAGTCGGACGGAGAAGACGATACCAAGTCCCAAGTCAGCGCGGCCGCCGAGGTCGAGGTCTCTGCCGATGCTTCCGGCGGTAAGGGCCAGATGAGCGTCCTCGAGGCTCTCAAGGGTGTCCTGAAGCTCTCCCTCATCCACGACGGACTTGCCCGTGGTCTGCGCGAGGCCTCCAAGGCCCTTGACCGTCGTGAGGCGCACATGTGCGTTCTCAACGAGGCTTGCGAGGAGGAGGCATACAAGAAGCTCGTCGTTGCTCTGTGCTCCGAGCACAAGATCCCCCTTATCAAGGTTCCCGATGGCAAGCAGCTCGGCGAGTGGGCCGGTCTCTGTACGTTGCACTCTCTGGTAGACTCTCAAAATTGAACAATGGCTAACAGATCAATAGGCCAGATCGACCGCGAAGGCAACCCCCGTAAGGTCGTCAACTGCTCTTGCGTCGTCGTCAAGGACTGGGGTGAGGAGTCCCAGGAGCGCAGCATCCTCCTCAACTACTTCCAGACCGAGCAGTAAACGTGCCTCACCCGCGAGCGCGATGCCCATCAACATACAAATTTTTCGCACAACCAACCCTCGGCTGCATCAGTTTAGTCGCACCTCGGCATGACACGGAGCTTGGGACGGATGGCAGGGCGAATTTAGGGTTATGATGTGATGGGTTGCATGGATTTAGACAGGTCTTTTGGACCATGATACCAAATGAGAAAGGACTGAACGAACGCCAACACATCTGAATTTTGTCCATGTAAATTTGTGATACTATTGCTGTGAAGTTTACGATGTGTGGGTCAAATCGTAGGGGGAAATATATTTTCATCCCCTCCCCCATACTCCAATCGCTGTGTACTTTGTTTGTTCTGTATGGTGTATGGATGGGAGCGAAAGTCATGTGGGACATGTCTTTGAACGTACATGACGACATGAAAGCCATACCCATTCTAGGCCTCTACGCAGTCTAAGTACCGCTCAGGCTGTTTCGGGATTCTTGAAGGTGGCGGGTACTGGCCGTCTTCTTTACGCTTTTCTCTGCCACAACATGAAGGTGAGTGAGAGACAGTTCAATCTCATCCCAATAACAATAATCTATATTCTTGACCTGCCCGACTTCCACTTGTTCCCTCTGCTATATGTATTGCTATCTGATAATGCTAATTCTTGCCAACATGCTATGCGAACGCTTCAAAAGTGCAGATGATGGATCTAAATTTCGACAAGCAAACAAAACTCGGCACGCCTAGACATCGCGAACGGTGCGACGTGGAATCTCAGTCTCTACCATTTCCAACCCGCTCAAACTAGGGTACCTCTTGCTGAAGGTGTCGACGTCAAAGTCATCACCACCGTCGCGGCTGACGGGCGCAAGTAGCTTCTCTTTAACTGTAGGGGCAGACTTGACAGGCGAACTTTGACCAGGACCTACTGAGCCCCCTGTTTGCAGATTTTTAGGCTTGGGGGCGCGTGGAGGCGGTCCAGAGGGGTTGCGAACATTGATTGTTGGCGGTGCTGAAGCGGAAGGTGCTGGTGGGGGCATATTCGGTCGGATCGAAGACGGTTTTGCGTAAGCAAGGTCTTGAGGCTGTTGCGAGGAGACATTCATGGGTTTACGGGCAATGGCGGGTGGCTGTCGTGCACCGCTTTGGTCTTGTGGCCGCATAGGTAGAGGTTTTCCAGTATCAGTATACTTCCCGTAGCCCTCAGCCGTACGATTGGACGCTGCTGGCTTGCTGCTTTCATCGAGCAAGTTCTTGACGCGGTTCTGAATCGATGAAGCCTTGGATGGGCCGGCTTTGGGCCCTCCCTGCCCCTGCGAGGCAACGCGTTGCTTGTACTCGGCAGCAGCAGCTTCAACACGGCGCTCTTCTTCAGCTAGTTGTCTCTTCTCGAGTTCTCTTCGAACCTCTGGTGGTAGATCCTGCGTTTCATCGATTTGGCTGCGATCGTCATCACTCAAGCCACCTGTAGCTTCGGAGCCGGCGATAGGAGTCAGGCCACCCTTGGAATCCATGAACTGGTCGGTTGGCGTCATGGGTGGTTGATCGCGTTCATGTTCGGGCGTCTTGGTGGATTCAAAGCGACGGAAGGCGTCGCCAAACCTTCCCTTGACGATGTTTGTGATGCTCCCGCGCTTGCCATGTTTGCCGTGAGAGCTACTCCGGCGATGCTTATGACCATGCTCTTCCTGTTCAATGGAGCGTAGGAAGTCGACACTCGACCTAACATTCTTTTCCTCTGGCTCGGAGTCGTCGATTGCATTTGCGGTGACACGACGCTGTAATGATGGAGCATCAAAGTTACGACCGGGAGCCATCTCTCGATCACGGAGATAATCAAGGTTTGACTCTACGTGCATACTGGCTGGACGTGCATTTGAGTTTGCAGATCTCGATCGGTCGATTGCAGAACCCATCTCCATAGCCGATGGGCGTGAGCTTTCCAGAGAAGGTCTAGAAGAAGCAGGAGATTGAGGAATGTTGAGCTGGGACTTTGATCTCGATTCAAAAGAAGGGCGTGCTGGCAAAGCAAATTCGGGTCGCAACGATGGACTGCTCAGAGGACTTCTTGGTCGACTCTCCGACGCCTGTTGGCTCAGAGCACGGTTGTGGTGTGTTGAGAGAGGCACCTTCCAGATTGGCCGGCTGTTGACGTCTGGGAGTTTCGGCTGTGCGGAAACGGGAGATGCCCGTGGCGACGTTTGGACACCAGTAGACACCATACCGACCCGCTGTGGGATGGGCGATTGGATGTTTGTGCTAGCGTTTCGTGGACTATCTTTGGCTTCATAGGGTTGTGGTTTTCTCAGAGAGGTGGTCCTGGAAACGCCCGCGGAGGACACTGCGGATGAGGGCTTTACGCCAGGTGCTGAATCAACCTTGGAGAGCGGAGGCGATGCAAAAGCTTCATCCGCAAGCGCATCTGTCACACGCTTAGTAAGTGCTGGGTCAGAAGTCGTTGGTGCCTCGCCGAATTCAAACTTCTGGCCTCGGTCATGCAACAAGGAGAATTCGTCCAGAGAAGGGAAGCGTGAGGCTAGCTCGTCAGCAGCAGCACGTCTGACCTGAACATCCTGGGAGTCGAGTGCAGCGAAAGGATCAGATGTCGTTCCTCTCATGGGCGATGGACTTGGCCTTGCTGCTGGAGGTGCCTGAACTGGACCAGTAGGTCGGCCTCTCCTCATGGGCGTAACGTCTGGTATCTGCTGAACCTGCACGGTAGGTGCAACTCTTTGTAGACCGACAACAGGAGGCGGCGAAGAGACTTGGGGCTCGGTAGGCGGAAGCTGCTGGTTCCGTCGCGCTTCTGACTGTGTTCTGCCAGAGTAGATCTGGCTAGTCTTAGCATGGAGCAGTAAAGCCAGAGTGTCAAACATACATCCTTGATAGGAATCGGCCGGTGTCGCATCGAGCAGACCTCGGCGACCACCTGGTAGATGTTGGGTCTATGCTGTGGATTCTCTCTCAGCATCGAGCCTGCTTACAATCAGTCACTGTCCATGGTCTAGTTAACTGCACGAACCTATGAGCTTCTTTATCCTGTCGGAGAACTGGGGGTAGGCTGGGTACTTGAACGAGGCGTTCAGGATGGCCATTTGTCCCACTTCTTCGAAAGGCGTCGTATAGTAGCATAATTTGTACAAGAGCACACCCAGCGCCCATATGTCGCTCTTCTCGTCTATTGGTTGTTTGCGATATACGTCGATCATTTCCGGACTGCGGTACTGTAGTGTGGTATGCCGCTGTACGTCGTCCTCGATCAATCTCCCTTCGGCGGCAGTTGTAGCGGCAGGTCTCGGCGGTGCAGTGGAACCAAAATCGCATAGTTTGTATATCTTGTTGCCTGCCACGGTAGTGATCAAGACGTTCTCGACCTTGAGATCGCGATGGAGGAGCGGTGGCTTGAGGTAGTGCATGGTTGCAACGCCCTCGACGACATCGGAGAAGATGTGCAGAATCTCAGGCTCGGTCAACCTATGCTGGAGCCTGGTGTTCATGAAGTCAATCAAACCGCCGCCTGAACAGAATTCCATGAGCAGAAATACTTCATAGCCCCCGGTCTTGAGCTGTGAAGCATGCGAGTCCATGTATGTGACGATCTTGCTGTGGCCCTTGAGCTTCTTCATGGTCTCGACCTCGGTCCTCATATTGGCGAGTGCATCTTTGTCTGCACAGGCTACCCGCTTCAGGACAGCCGTCTCGGGGGTTCCGTTGTCGGATTTGGGTACGCGGACGAGGTAGACATGCGCGAAACCGCCCTCGGAGAGGTACTTGTCGATGGTGACACGGTGGTTGCCCACCTGGACCTTGGTGCCAGGCGCAAAGGTGCCTGGAGGGGCATTGGAGACGGCGATGGGCGCCGGAGCGCGGTATGCGGCTTGCTGGGCCATGGGATGGGCGGCCGAGGGCGCATAGCGAGCGGTGGACATTTGGGCGGTGAGGGAGCCTGCTGCGGTGCAGGACAACGACGAAGCTATATCTTGCGCATCGAACTGGCAAGAGGTTCGGCAGGGCTGCTTCTCGGACGCGAGAAAGGGGAGGGGGTGGTGAGGTTGAGCAAAGGTGGCATGCCTGGAGATGCTTGTGATCGTACAGTAGTAAACGGACCCTTGCAACTACGAGCGCATGGACGAAGCCACCCACGACAACGTCACAATGTATCTTTAGACCACCACGCCTCGCCCTCTCTCACGCCGCATGCAGACCTGCTTGTCTGCCTCTCGCCGCCCCTCACACAACTATTTCAGTCTCGCACGCTCGAGCAGAGCCATAGTCCCGGCTTGTAGCGCCAAGCGGGAAGCACTTTATTCGGCAAAGTACCGTGCTTTCACTCCACGCGTCTTCATTGGGCAGAAACAACATGTCGAGATAATGGACAAAACATTTGTATTCTTCAAAGGACATGATATAGTTGGCGGTGCGGTACTAGTCTATTGCTTTTGCCCGGACTCCCGATGAGCCCTGGACAAGTCTTTGTTGCCACTGCACGACGTGGTCAGGAAGCGTCACCGAAAGGTAACGGTGAAGGAGGGTCAAGTCGGACCTCAGGCGTTAACCAGCCTCGGCGAGAGGGGCAGGGGGGCTGCTTCAACTACAGTCTGCTGCCAAAGACACACGGCCATTTCAACAGGATAGTACCACTGCTGCACCGACGCGACTTGGACGCGGCCATGTCATATGACGATGGTGGGGGAAGAATGCTTAGGCGTGGGCTACTCCAGAGCCCATGACGGCGTGGTAGTGTGAGGGTCGGGGCTGGAAGCAGCCGTGATGCCGACGAAAAACATGGTGTGAAGCATTTGCCCTGCAGTGGAAGCGCGTTGGAAGGCTGAACAGAGGGATCGTCGTCTGGAACAGGCAGACAAGGACGTCGTGTTTGGAGCAGCGGAGAGGGGAGTGCAGGGAAGGACCTTGGCGGGATGCGACGATGGGCAGCGACCCACCCATGACTGCCCAGACGACTTGGTTCCCTCTTTACCTCCAAAGACGCTCGTGTCGTGTGTTGTCGCCTCGCTTGTTCCTATTTAGGAGCGTGAAGAAACTTGACGCTTCTTTCATTGACCAGAAGGCTCCGCACTGTGTTTGTTGCATCTGCAGAGTGAGCGGGCTGCCCAGTACACCCGCCTACCGCCGCGTACACCATCACACCGATCGAACAAGTTAGACCGCCCTGTTCACACTCTCTCACACACACCCCCACGACGACAACGACTTCCCTCAACTTGCCCGAATAGCTGCCCGGTTGATTGCGACCCTCGACACCTCCAAGATGCTGGCCCGACACACAGAACCGGCGCTGGCCCGACACCGACAAGGCAACATGGCGCGCTCACGACGAACCCAGAGAGACGCGAGTACTTCGCGCTCCGACTCTTCCGCCTCGACCTCTCCAGAGCGCGGCTATGACGACGAAGAAGACAAGGACTCCATCATGATGCAGTCCAACGACTCATTGTCATCACTCGCGCCCTCGGTATCGCCAGACTCAGACGACGAGGCTCGCCGGCGCGCCATCGAAGAGCAGAACCGCATCTCGCCCGTTTCCCGCTTACCCGCCGAGCTCATGATCGCCGTCTTCGCCAAACTCTCGTCCCCCGCCGACCTCAAGAACTGCATGCTCGTATCCAAGACATGGGCAGGAAACAGCGTCGGCCTGCTGTGGCACCGGCCTTCCACAAACAAATGGTCCAATGTCAAGAGCGTTATACAGACTGTCCAGACTGTAAACAGCTTCTTTGACTACAGCAGTTTGATCAAGCGCCTGAACCTGGCCGCTCTCGGCAGCGAGGTCAGCGACGGCACACTGAGGCCTCTTTCAAGTTGCAAGCGTGTCGAGCGCCTGACGCTGACCAACTGCACCAAGTTGACCGACTTGAGTCTGGAGGCCATGCTCGTCGACAACCGCTACATACTCGCCCTGGATGTTACCAACGTCGAGTCCATCACCGACAGGTCCATGCTTGCCCTGGCCAAACACGCAGTCCGTCTGCAGGGTCTAAACATCACAAACTGCAAGAGGATAACAGACGCTTCGCTTGAGGCTGTTGCCAAGAACTGCCGGCATCTGAAGCGCCTAAAATTGAATGGATGCTCTCAGCTCAGTGACAGGAGTATCATCGCCTTCGCTAGGAACTGTCGCTACATTCTGGAGATCGACCTTCACGATTGCAAGAATCTCGACGATGCTTCCATCACCACCCTCATTACTGAAGGTCCCAACCTCCGTGAATTGCGCCTGGCTCACTGCTCTAAAATCACAGACCAGGCCTTCCTTCGCCTCCCAGCTGAGGCTACCTACGACTGCTTGCGTATCCTAGATCTTACCGGCTGCGACGAACTACAAGACTCCGGCGTTCAGAAGATAGTCTACGCAGCTCCGCGGCTTCGCAATCTGGTCCTGGCCAAGTGTCGCAATATCACAGACAGAGCCGTCATGGCCATAACTCGTCTGGGTAAGAATCTTCACTACATACATTTGGGACACTGCTCGCGTATCACCGACGTCGGTGTCGCGCAGTTGGTCAAGCTATGCAACCGCATACGGTACATTGACCTCGCATGCTGTACCGCTCTCACCGATGCCTCGGTCATGCAACTGGCTGCTCTCCCAAAGCTGAAGCGCATTGGCTTGGTCAAGTGTGCAGCCATCACAGATCGGAGTATACTCGCATTAGCCAAGCCGAAGCAGATTGGATCTAGTGGACCCATCGCACCTAGCGTGCTCGAGAGAGTGCATCTTAGCTATTGCACCAATCTCTCCCTGGCGGTAAGTTCTCTGCATGTAGCAAAATAGTACCTTTACTGACATGAATAGGGCATACACGCGCTGCTTAACAACTGCCCCCGCCTGACGCATCTCTCGCTTACCGGCGTCCAAGCTTTCCTCCGCGACGACCTTCTCGCCTTCTGCCGTGAAGCGCCTCCGGAATTCAATGATCACCAGCGTGAGGTCTTCTGCGTCTTCAGCGGTGTCGGCGTACAACGCCTTCGCGTCTTCATGAACACCAATGGCCGAGACGATGTTGATAACGAGGAAGACCCTTTCACTCTCAACGACGGTACCATGTACCACGAGGATGAAGATGGCGATAACATGGTTGTGGTCACAGCACAAGCGAACATAATGGCCATTGACGAGGAAGACGAATTCGGTAATGACAGTGAGATGGCAGGGCAAGACTAGGGAATTGGTGACTCGGTCTATAAATGTTTCTGCATCCCTAGGCATCAGCATCGCTGAGTATTCATCTTCGCAGTCTTCTCATCAGCATACATAGAGGAGTTTGGGCGGCGTTGTTAGTCTTTTCGGCATCTCTAGCGGCGCTATATGATATTATTGTTCCTGCAGACGACGCAGAACCGGACGGCTGGTCTTGATAGGACGCACTTTGGTGGCGATTATACCCTTACGCGTTTCTTTAGTATTTTGGTATGGCATGGGGGTACGGGGATAATATACAGAGGTACCCAATTTTCCAAGCCAGGAGCATCACGGATGCAAAGGCCGTACAGCTTATTGAAAACCATGTTTTACTTAGTCACACTGATTGTCACATTACGTATCCTGTGTTGTGTTTTTTTTTTACCGCCAGTATATTCATAAACCGACACAGACTAACAAACTTCCTTCAATCAACCCGGCAACTTCATTTCATCAACCCACACATACATCCACAGTCCGGTACGGGACACATGGCATGTCTGGCAAACCAGTCTCTAGCATGATGCCCATGAAAGCCGTGTGTACAATTCATACAGAACACCATCATCTTCGCTTCCTTGTCTTCTCCCTTGAGCGTCTCATACGCCCCTTGTTTGCTTGGGTCAGGTGAACCTAACCACAGCATGCACAATGCACATCTTGGCATCTGCGCCGCGCAATTGGGGCAATGCAGACCAGGTGTACTGGCGGATTTTGGAGGTTGAACGGGTTTCCCGCCTCCCCCTGCACCGCCGCCACCAAAGGACAGAGAAGGCGTTGCGCGATGTGTTGTCGTCGCTGTAGATGGAGCATTGTTGTTTCCACCACCACTATGTTGGTTAGTAGTAGGAAGTAGCCTTCTCGTACTGTTTCTCGGATCTTTTCTCAACGCGAGGTTCTGCTGGCAATTCAGACAACGTAATGCTAGGCTAGGTTGACTGGGCTTATTCACACTGCGCCCCTCGCGCGTCACGCTGAGCAGGTTGTGCTCTTTGATGTAACGAGTGCGCTCGAGGAATGTACGCCATATTTGTTGTTGCTCGAGGTACATGTCTTTCCAAAGGGTCCAGCGTGGGTCTTGGATGTAGAGTGGACAGGCACGGGAGAGGAGCAAGACGGCATTTTGGAGGCCCATAGTGGGGTGGTGGGAGATGTGGGTCTGGAGGAGGGAGAGGGAACGTGTTGTTAGGCCGGTTAAGAGGAGGGCGGAGATATCACCTTGGCTTGTTGCGGCGTTTTCAGCTGCGCTGAGGAAGTTGGAGAGGTGTTGGTCTGGGAGGTATTTCAATGCGACAGCTACACGGTCTGAGATGGACAGTTGCGGCATGTGAACTACACTTGACCAATCCCCTGTTATGAAGTAGGTGAGGAGGGATTTCAGGTATGCATTGCTTGTCATGTCAGCCATCCAGGCACAGGCTTCTCTTTGCTCGGCTGAGACGCCAGAAAAGGGGGAGGCGCAGGCAATGACGGCTGCAAGACCGATATCGTCTTGTGGGAGTTTCTTGTTTGTGAGGCTAGACCGGAGGAGATTCAGAGCGATGTGTTTGTGGCCCTGGAAAACGGCGAGAACGATGGCTTTGTATATCTCCCCTTCATCGATAAGCCGTTGGCAATTTTGCTCTACGCCAATTTCGTTGAGAGACCAGCCGCAGAGGCTGAGACACAGTTGCCTATTCTCAGGGTACTCAGTGCTCACGCCTTCGAAAGCAGGAAACTCCATGGCCTCAACTATCTCTTTGACTGCATCGCTGAACATCTCATGGCTTGTCTTCGTGTCTGGATCGATAAGTCTCTCGTCGTACATTGTCAACTCATTTGCCCAAATTGAGCTAACTCCCAGGTACTTGAGATCGAGACCATTGCCCACCATGCCATCTCCTGCAGCGTGCGCATCCATGCGGTCAATTAGTGTCCACACATCGACCAACCAGGGATCGTTGTGAACAATGTCTTTGTTTTTAGCACAATCCAGAGAGTAGCCCTCTTGAACACGTCGTTTGGGGGCCTGAAGGACGGCGAGGTAATCGGTGAGAGGTACTTTAAAGTCAGGATAGGCAAGATCGAGAAGGTCCTTGTGCATGTGGTGACTGGGGTGTTTTGTCGAAAGGAGAGGTAGGCTTCTTTGGCTGTTGCTGAGGCTAAGCCTATCGACACTGGAGGAGAGGTTGGTCTTGTGGTCGTATTCAATATCGTACTTCTCGCCTAGCGCTCTGTTTTGTACTTGTATCAGGTCTTCTGCTACCGTGCCATATGGTGAAGTAGGCCTAGCGATACAGGTACGGTCTTTGTATATCTCTTCCAACGCGCTGATATTGAGGCGAGGAGGCGGAGGCGGTACTTTGAGTACTTCAACCTCCCGATTTGAATGTAGGGCTAAAGCGCATTGCCCACTTAGAGGGTTTCCAGCGGTCATAAAGTCGTATGCCACAATGCGTTCTTTGTCATCTTGCCGATGGTTCTTGTCATATGAAGGATAGCGTAGATGATGTGAGGCTTTCGTGTAGTATGGAGAAGCCCATGCTCGAGCGAAGGGTGTGTCTGCTGTCTCAAGAGGTTGATGGGAATGCTGCGCTAATTCAATGATTTTGAATTCTCCCGTGTTGGCGAGCACTCCAAATGTTCCTCTCTTGGTGCCCGAGTATCGAAGACTCCATATGGATGCCGATTGTGAGTTGTCTACAACTGGCTTGAAATCCAGTACCGCACCGCTGCTTGCAGTGTCGTTGGCAGCTACTCGCTGCTTGACGGAGCGAATGTCCCAGACAGTCACAGTAGGATCACCCGCTGTACCTGCTGATAGGAAGTAGTTTTCGTCCAGTGGGTCTATAGCGATGTTGTGCACCTGACGCGTTTGAAATTGCGCAACACCCGTCGTACTAGAGTCTATAGAAGATGAGCAGGGGTGTATTGGCTTGGTTGTTTTTCACCCACCTCTAAGGTCATAGATGCGCACGTATTGCCTCGAAACACCCGCGACAAGCATATCAGGCTGTCCGGTGAAGAACTTGATACTAGAAATCGCCTCGGAGCTTGCCAGCTTCTTGTACGGTTCGTCCTTGGCGGTGACTCGAGAGTCATTCATGTCGTAGATGTTAAGGCAGACATCGTTCCTGACCCTATCCAACCCAGTAGCAAGTAGATTCTTAGCGCTGAAAGCAATGGAGTTGCACTTTCGTTGATGCCGGATGGAGAATGAGTGGATGTATTCAGCATCCGGCTTTTCTGGATCTAAAGTAACGACGGTGGCCTCCCCAGAAGCAGAGCCGACGGCGACCACACTTGGATCTTTCTTAGACCAGTCGAAGGCCGTGTAGTTTGGAAGCTTATCTCGGATACATATTTGCTTGTAATTGACCTTGCTCTTACTAAACTCCTCGATCTGACACAGACGCAATCGATTGCCCGCGACGTCGATGATTAAGAAACGAGGATTGTCCCGTGTGGAGTGTGGTGACCATCTTATTGCAGCTTCCATATTACTGGCTGACTATCGCAACCTTGGGATCTCGCGATAATGGAAGATCAGGGTCCAGCAGCAAAGAAAGGAAGTTTCACAAGTCCACGATGTATTGGCAGGAGGGACTCGGAGCAAACGATGCGGTGCGCATGTTGTAGTACACTCGGCTACGCTGCGCTATCATGCAGGGTCAGAGAGTGTGGATGAACGCCCAACGCGTGATCTTGCTTGGCGTGCATGAGGCGGTCTAACAACCTTAATTCTGCCGCCCCACTAAAACTTCCCTTCCTTCGATCCCAAAGATTTCCGCAGCCGACCAACAAATCACAATCCATACAGTCCCAGCCAGCAAATATGTCGCAAAAGCGCAAGCATGCCGACGCGACCGAGCCGTCCTCGTCCACACCCAAACCTTTCAAGAAGCATCGCGCCTTCAAGCCCGGACAGAGCCACTCCAAACCGAAGAAGCGACCGCACGTTTCGAGCGATATCGACAAGAGTACCAGCACGCACGCGCTCAAGAGCCGTATACGAGACTTGAGGCGACTACTCGCGCACGTCGACAATGTAGGCGACCACAAGATGTCGGCGAGCAATAGGATAGAGAGGGAGAGGGAGCTCGAGGCTTGTCAGCATGAGTTACAGGAGAAGCTCGAATCTACCAGGGAAGCCGAGTACCGGAAGAAGATTATTGGGAAGTATCATCACATACGCTTCTTTGGTACGTCACGATTCACTCAAGGCGCAAGAAAATTCAGCCCCGAGCGATTGCTAACGCGCCTCAGACCGCCAAAAGGGCACGAGGATACTGAAGAAGCTGAAGAAGGAGTACGAGACAGAGGAAGACCAAACAAAGAAGCAGCATCTAGCAGAAAAGGTGCACAATGCCGAAGTCGACGTCAACTACTCCATCTACTACCCGCTCCTGAAGCCCTACGCATCCTTGTACCCAAAGTCCAAGAAGAGCAAGGCCTCGGACTCAGATGACGCAAATGAGGAAGATGTCGATGACAAGGCGAATCGGGACGTCGATGGACCAAAAGGCGATCTGGATATGTGGAAATCAGTTGAGGTGGCTATGGCAGAAGGCACTTTGGATGCGCTCAGAAATCGCAAAGAGGACATGCCTGCTCTTGTACCGAAGAAAGAGAAGAAGACAAAAGAGCAGTTGCAACCACAGCGAGCTGTCAAATTCAAGGAGAAGAAAGTGGAAGAGAAGCTGGCTGCAGCCAAGAATCGTCGCGAGAGGAGGGCACTTGGTGTCCAAGCCCAAGAAGAAGCAGAGGAGAGTGACGGCGGTTTCTTTGAGTAGCTTCATGACACAGCACACTACGTACATCTGCATCATATACCCGGCGATCAATCGTCAAAAAGACTATTCTGGAGCAAACACGCAAATCTCTCTACGTCTTCACATCCCACATGTCTTTGGAAGGATCCTTACGTCTACTGTCCAACAAGCCCCCTCGTCGTATTCCCACCCCCGTAGACCCTGACCGGATGCGCCTCAGTATTGTAGACC